TGGTAGCTGTTACACTGGCCGATAATTCTGTGCATTTCATCCTCAATTCAACGCTAAATGTCCTCTCCTCAATGCAATCGGTTCTTTATTCCACGAGAAAACCAATGTTGTCACTTACCGAAGATCCCCTTTATCCCGATTATATAGTTTATACTGCCCGTCCCGGTGTCATACAATGGCTGGAGCCGCTTACAATGATCACAGTTGCCACGGTATGCATTTTTTTGTAACGTGTTTATTGAAGATATGAACAGAGTTAAAAGGAAAGTTAATTCTGGTACAGCGTATGAACGTGTCGATGGACCGAAGGAACCAAATAGGGTACTAGGCTAAAACAGCGAAAAAAGGGGATTTATTGCACGAGACAGTGACACGGAAGGATGAGCGATTGACGAATCATCAGTAGTGGCGTGAATAGGTCATTTTGACGCAGGGCACTCATTCAGTGAACGTGGACGAAGAATACACGCGGACCTGGAATCATTCGACCGTCCGTCTTATATACTGGTGTTCCTGTACTAGATATCACATACAACAGTCTCCGAATCCATCAACATCACTAACATTGGGTCCTCACATCATTATCCCGGAAAACTTGGTTATAATTCTGGCACTTGGGTATTTGAACCATTGAATTGGGCGTGACTGTAGTCGCATATTAATGCTAACAGCAGAAAATCAGGTGCAAAGACAAGTATATTAGTCAAAAACGTCAATTCCAGATTTCTTTGCTCTCTTTCTCACTGCTTAATCGAACATGCATTTCCTTCTAATTTCGATTGTTAAGGCTGATATTTCGCGCGAAAATCCGGTCGAAGCGGAAAATGTTTTTTCTGAATCTACTGGTTACACGGATGTTTGCGCAGTGGCATTTTCACCAACATTGGCTGTTACAGCGGACTGTGACATTGGCTTTGATATACCTTACGTAAGTTTATTCAAACCTGATATTTCATCGCATAATCAAGTCACGAGCTGACAAAATAACAGGAAGTATCCTTGGTACTTACCGCTACCGGGGAGATGTGAAGGCCCGTATGCATCGCACATTTTTTTTTCTTAACAAAATTAAAAAGAAATTTCAGAATCGGTTGCAATTTTGGTGCCGAGATGCCAGCAAAATAGGATCTCTAACATTGGAGCATTCGGTGAACTGTGGTGATAGGGGTGTGAAATATATTCGAGCCTGCCTTGAATTTGACATTTTTATTGTTGTTGATGAAAAGGTGAATTTTTTTCTTTGCACAAAAAATGCATCTTACTTCATTTTTCCTCATTTGCTTTAGGATTTCCACAAATATCTCAAATGGTACCATTTCAGGGAGTAATATGCACATGGGAAAGAAATGAGAAAAAGAAGTGGTACAAATCGAATGAGATTCATTGGATGAATGTTCCTATTCTACATTTGTCTGGAGTGCGAAAATCACATTTTGCTTCTATCCATGACGTTCGTTTTTCAAGGAATACTGTTATTTTGGGGATATTTCTGAAGATTTTGTGGCTGTATAATATTAGTGCTAACCCATCTGTGGCAGATTAATCCTGGTGCCCGCCCGGACAGTTGGTTGAAGCCTTCAGCTTTCTTCTAAACAGCCATGGAAAGGAGAGGCTTCGTATATAATTGCATTTTATTGAAAAGTGCTATCATTCGATCTACTAGTGAGTTCCCTTCCCTCTACGGAAAAATACATAAAAAAAGAAATGTGAAATTTTATATTTTTGCTGCTTGAAAAGTTGTCTTTGTTCTTTTTTGAATTCTTCTAACTGCGTTTATCAGATATTTATTTTTGAGAAATTAACGAAGAAATTTTTTGATTTTGTGGAAATAAATTCACATGCTTGCCAAAACAGGTTCAATTTTCATCAGTTTAAACACGTGTTTCATTTCGAAATACCCTTTTTTGCAGATTACTCAAGAAAATGAAGGAGTTATGGTGTTGTGGCGTGTAGAACCAAAAGGGACCCTGAAACGGGTGCATATTCATCAGGGCGATGGCAAAATTAATACTGTGGAATGGGCGAATTTAGACACCGCCGAATTGCTTGTTCTGTCAACGAAAAGTTGTGTCTATGCATTTGATATTTGTACGCT